TTTAAAGCAAACAGAAATATTTACCATTGTTCCTCTTAGTTTCTTAAATACATTTATTACTCCTATAAACTCTTAAGAATCTTGTTCCCTAATGCCTTTATTCCTCTGAAAACAGAGCAAGGGAACCTTTTCCCCAACTCTCTTGTCCTTCATCTTGGCAACTCACTTCAGCCATGGTCAGGTATCATATTTGTGGTTAATGGTATTCAGGAAGGAAGAAACTGTGTAGTGAGGGTCTGCTTGTACCATATTTTCCCACAGACATGCCCCCATTTAATTTCACAAAATAATCTTGTAAATTAGGCTTTATTATCACAAACTCAAACTTTATTATCACAAACTCAATATAAAAGGGTAAAGTACGCTAGATGATTTTTCAGGATAAGGCTTTTTTAAAAAAAGGTTTATTTATTTATGCATACAAGAACTGGGGTACAGGCCAGAGGTGTGGGGGGTGAGAGGATTCACTGAGACAGAATGGGAAGTAGAACAGGCGGATCAACTGAAATACACTGCTGAGGGGAGCAGCGGGTGAGACAGAGAGGTCTACTGACATGTGGGTCACTTCTTTGGCCTAGGATTGAACTCATGCTGCAGTGGCTGCAGACAGCTTCATAGTGCTGCATCTTAACCCCTTGCGCCACCAGGGAGGCCCCCAAGATAAGGCTTTTATGTGAAACTTGAATTTTTAAACTTTGACTACTAGAATGAATGAAAGAACAAACCATTGTGGTTGATTGCAAAAAATGTTCACAAATTTCTCCCGTCCTTATATGCCTGTCCCTTTGCATTGAGACTTTGCTGCTCTTCCTATCATGAGATGAGGCCTTTTTCATACCTCCTTGAATCTAATAGCAAACACAAGTAGAAACTTGAAAAGTGCTTGTGCCTTAGGATTTGTCCATATCTGGCTGCTTGAGACCACCATGCAAAGAAGCAAGGGTAGCTTCCTTGAGAATGAGAAACCACATGGACAAAGGGGCCAAGTGATAGCCAGATGTGAGCAAGGCAATTCATGACAACAGCCATGAGTGACCCAAGGATAGACCAGCAGAACTATCAGCTAAATCTAGCTTAAATTGCTGACCCACAGAATTGTGAACAAATGGAATGTTTTATTACATCCTACTATGTTTTGGGGTGCTTTGTACATGGTGACAGACACTTGATGCAATTATATCAAAAACCATATAAAGCAGGTTTGAAAGTGCTTATGGGTTTCCAGTTTGAAACCCTCCATATTTGAAACCCAGTTAGACCTTCTAAATGGGTCCATGCAATCTCCAAAGGTCCCCAGGTTCCAGCACACTGCAGAGCAGAATAATTTTCCTGTGAATGCATGAGGTGGTAACAGAGAGGATCAGACCAAAGGTGCTATGTCAAATAAAGAAATGACAGGTTAGCAAACTGTGCTCTGATACCTGGAGCAAGCAGTTCATAGGATGTCTCATCCTATTGTCAGCATAGACAGGTGACATTGTAGTGTTACATAGGCTTCCCTAGAATTTAGAAGCAAGCCTGGGATGAAAAGGGGATGCAGACTACAGTTTAAGTAAGGCTAGGCTTTTATTATTTCTGTAATATGCAGACTCAGAATCAAGGGAATTCAAGAACTATTTCTTACATTTCTGAGTTTATAAGTACAATGGTCTTAAATCTCTATTGATCCTGGAGATTAAGTCTTGGGTGGTTCGGACAAAAAAATGGATGAAGCCAATAAAAGACAGACACTTTATTACTTTATTTTTCCATAAATGTTCTGTGTTCTTTCCATTCAATCAGTTTTGATGGCAGATTTAAAGATGCGTTTGTTCTTTCCTAAGGTGTGAGAGATTTACAAAAAAGCAAGAAAGTGGTAACATATCCTTGACTGGATGAAAATTACTTTGAGAGGCCTGAAAATCTTTAAAATTGAATAAGCCTATCTCCAAAGTTTAGAAATTTCTCGTTATAGGCTAACTCTGTATCTTGTTTTTCCTGGTGGTTTTTTTTTTTTTTTTGGTTAAGTTTGATAAAACAAGTATTTGCTTTGTAACTATTTTTACTTTTAGTAAGGCAGAAATTCTTCCATATAAAATATAAAGGATTTTCTTAAAAACTATTCTAGGAGTTTCCCTTCTTATCACTAGTCATATTAAGACTTTTCAACATTGTATACCCTAAATTTATATAAAGTTATATATCAATTAAATCTTAATAAAGTTGGGGATAAATAGTAACCTGGTTGAAGCCTATGAACAAATAAAACACAGGCATAGGTGATTCTACATCTGTTGACCTTCCATTTTAATTAATATAAGCCCAGACTCATTAATTCATTTTACAGTAATTGAGGACCTGCTATGCGCCAGACCCTGGGAATACAGAGATGCCATTATAAGTATGCCATACACACTATTAAGAGGGAAGAGTTGAGGGGACCTACAGAAGGGTATAGGGGGGTACCTTGCCCTAACTAGGAGGGTCAGGGAAAGCTTTCTAAAGTGTTGGATAGGCACAGAACAGAGGGAAGAGCGCATACAAAGGCAGAGAAATGGAAGGTCAGTGCAAAGTAGTGTTTAGGGAAATGTGACTAAAACTGCTATGTAGTGGAAGAAACCAGTGAGCAAAGGGGAACATTTAGACAGACATTTCAAGTAGGGGGAGTTTGAATGGGGGGGTGTCTTCTGGGCCTGGTGATTAGCATTCAAAAAGAAGCAGGTTATGTGTAGGGGCAAGGCAACTGTACTGGGGCAGAGAGTGAGTGTCACAGAGCAACAAGAACAGATGCTGACAAACAGGCAGAAGATGGATTCAGTGTTTCCACATAAGGGGAACATTTGAGGTGAATTTGATAAGGACCAGGAATTGGAGATAGCAGGTCTCTGCCACACCCAGATTCTAGCACAAGATATATTTACTCTCTGCAGTAGTTCTGGAAGAAAAGTCCAAGAAGTTCCAGACTCTCAACCAGGAAGGGGGAGTAGGACCAAAACCAAGTATAATAAGTGATGATGAAACCTGCAGCCTCATCTAGTGGCCTTCTTGAATGCTATTGGCAAGTGCTTTGCCATCCAGAAGGAAATTGGATTCTTCTCTAGGATGGTGGCCCATAAACACATTTTGATAAATGATTATTAAATAAGGACTACTGGAATTACATCTTTTAGTAAAGTGGGTGCTCCCCCATTAATTCATATATTCATGAATACTTATTATTTCTAACTCTAATTTCTAGAATGAAGCAAGATTCAGCATCATTTAATAATTTTTTTTTTTGGTTAAGATTCAGCATCACTTAGTGCTATTTTTGGGATTTACATGCATAAGTGTTGAGAAAATTTGCTGACACAAGTATGAGTGGAAGGAATTTTGTTACAGCATCATTCACTTCTTCTGATTAAGTACCAAAAATCACACATAGTAATCTATTATTAAAAATTTTTTAATGACCTATCAGTTAACAACTCAATTAAGTTCTTTTTAAATTTTGTTGCAAGCAAATAATTGGAAACATGATTGGGAAAGGCTTTGTTAACTAACTTGTGGAATCAACTTTATTACTGTTCACCGAGAGGTGCTTTGCTAACTCATTAAGAAAGTTTTGGAAAAATAAAAAAGTTAATTTTATTCACATCTGCCTATATAATTATTTTTGATAAAAATGTTAAGTTCAGTATTTTGATAGACCAGTAGGAAGCCTTGCCATGGAAGAATGTGCCAGCTTTAAATATTTTCACAGATGCTCTTTGCTTTGTTCTCAGTCATTTAGTGAAACTAATACTCCAAATTTCCCTTTTGTTGGCATTCTGAAAACATTTATACCCTCTAGTAATATGACATAGTATTGTTGTACTAGTGGTGAGATGTTCAATTTCGGTAGTAGACAAAAGGCAGTTGCGAGAGTAGAGGGTGGAAATAAAAACTAATATTGGGCTGCTCATAAGCAGATGATTTTAACATATATACACATGAGGAAATTAATGATTTGGAAAATGATTGCCTCAAAGCTGGGCCCTTGCACCTCTTGGGTGGGGACACATACCTATCCTAGTTAGGAGACTGACCAATACTGAGAGTGAAAAATATTGTATCCAGGAAGCTGGGTTTGTTACAGGGTAACATGAAAGAGAGTATGACAGGCCTAAGTTATGCTAGAATGGATTTAGAAGAAGAAATTCTGTATAGATGCCTCCGAGAAAAAGGTGGTTCTGATGAAGGTTTTATGTCTTGGTTGGAGTTGAGGTATTTTCTCAGGAAGACTTAGGAAAAAATTATGCTTTAAAAACACTGTTTTGAAGAACACTGGCTAATATTTTGGCAAAGTCTTATTTTTGCTGCAGTATTTGTAGCACATTTACTTTAGGTAAAAAATTATTTTTTTGTAGAAAACCGTAATTCAAGGAGTAAAGTCTGACAGGAAGAAGAAATGAAGTTAAGGAGTACTATTAAGTTTTCAAGGTGAATCCTGAAGCCAATGATGGGTTACTTTTATTTTTTAATAAGGAAGAAAATAAAGATATTGGGGTAGGTCTTTTTTTTTAGGTAAGAGGAAGAAAGAGGAGCAAAGGGAAGGGTCATTTATCTTTAAACATAAAGATCTTTAATTGGTTTAGGTCTTTGGATATGCATTTAATTTTTTTTTAATTTCTTACATCATTGTTCATTTTTGTATAATATTTTGGATATGCATTTTGTTTCTACTTCCTAACTTCATAGCCCTGTCATCGCACACTTGTGCCAAGTTCTACATACAGATCCTGATATCCTTACATCAAAAAAAGAAATCAGGGCTACGTCTTGTGGTAGAGGATGCAAAGAAACATTGGAGAATATTCTGGCACTACAAAAAGTGCTTAAAACATCCTTTCCCATATTTCCAGTACTGACTTTATAAAAGCATACTCTAATATTCTTAGTTTAATATTTTCTTTTAGAATACCTTGATTTCTAAAGCACTTCTGAAATTTAATTAAAAATGGAATAGAAATTAAACTTATTGTTTTCCCTTTGGTTTTCAAATGAGAAGTGAAACTGTATATTTATTATTATTATGTTTTAATATGGAGCACAATCAGGAGTGTAAAGACCTGCAGCAGAACCAAGAGAAAAAACATGGGTGAAAAAGTGTTGAATAAGGCAGCCAATTATAGTTTTTGGAAAGCAGGTTTATATATTAAAATAAGAACTGGGACAGAGAGAACTAAACAAGTAAGAAAGATGGGTTAAAAAAAAAGTACCAACGAACAATTACGCATACACATACCCCCTCCCCCTGCCCCAATTTTGGATTGTGAAGTGCAAGAATCCTAGACCATAATTCATGTAAATGTGTTGCTGTGGTGCTTATTTTAACTTCTCTCCATAAATAGACTTAGACACAAAGAATAATATTCTTAGTTTACTGGCTACAGTAAAGGGACATTTCAGGAGTTGACTTTTCCTTTAAAAAAAAATAAAAACTGAAGAGACTGTAAATATCTCTACTACCCTTGTGCAGTTCTTAGATCTCACCCTACCTATTTCCAAACAGAAAAGAGAAAGAGTGAGACAGTTGTAACCTGTAAAGAGTGAAGGATTTAGTGAGCTGTCAATTTCTCATAGAATTCTTCTTTTCTGTGCTGCTGTTCTCTGTGTATTATTAATCTATTTATATTTAACTCCAGCTATTAGTCCGCCTCTTCTAGCCACTGAGCCATTTGTAAAGGAGAGGAAAGAAGACAAGGGTTGCTATTATTAGGCATTTTTGTGTGTGATGAGGGTGGAGACAATTAACACAATTTTGCTTCTTTGAAAATGACAGAGATTGTTTGGGGTGGACAACTCAGGACTGGTTAACATAACCTTTCCCCTGAAGAAGGTAAAACAATAGAGATGCATTTTTAAAGTACTTAATTAAGCCTTCAGCAATAAGTATGGGAAAATTACAGAGCCATAAAAACCCTCCAGTTCCAAGCAAGAGTAAAATTTCTCTGCAGCACTCTGTCACTACTCATTTACTGCATCATTTTGACAACATCTCATATTTCCACAAGGCTTTTATATAACCTACAAGCAGGGGCAGAAAGGTGAGGAACAGAGGGAATAGGGACAAAGTTTGGCCCTCCCACGCTGTCACTCCTCTGTTTTCCATTAAAGGGTGAGGCTGAAGGGTGGCATTTTAAGATGATTTCGTTAGGACTGCGACATTAATAATCAACACAGCAAGATGAAAGCTGTGAAAACTGCCACTGCTTGTTCACTCTTCCAAAGGATGAGTGTAATTCAGTCATAATGAAGGCTCTTTAATGTTCCTCCTCCAAATCTTTTTCGATCAGAAAAGCCTGGAATCTGTAGACAAGAAAGATAATCATTACGTTAAATCTCAAGGAGGCAGAGTTCCAATGTTAATAGCCTTAATATTTTTTCCTTTATTTTCTGTTTTTGTATGTCAGCTTGTTGTTCTTTAAAGAATCACCATTCTGAGGTTTTACTCAGAAAACCAGAGCAAACTAAATAGTAAAAATAAACTCAACTGAATGGAAAACCTTCACAAATTGGTGACAGTGTCATTTAAACCAGAAAGGACAGTGAAATCTCTTAATATTCATCTATTGGACCTTTATATGAATTGTCTGAGTGTGGTAGACTCTGGAAATATGCCTTTGGCATTTCAAGCAAATTATTTTCTTCTTTTATTTTTTAATGTAACCTTATTCTTGGATCACTTTTTTTCTTTTTTTTTTTTTTTTATAGACGCATGTTTTAGTTTTATTTATTTATTTGTTTGTTTGTTTTTTGTTTATACATGCACTGGGTACAGTCAGAAGCACGGGAGGGTGAGAGAATTCACCAGAGCCAGAGCGGGGAGCAGAGCAGGCAGAAGGACTGAAGTACACTGCTGAGGGGAGCAGCGGGCAGCAGGAGAGGTCTGCACGCCAAGTGGGACCCTCCTCCAGTGGCCGGGGAGCAGCCGGGGATCGAACCGGCGCTGCAGAGGCCGCGGGCAGCTTCGCAACCCAGCGCTCAACCACTGCGCCACCGGGGAGGCCATGGATCACTTTTTTTCTTAATTTGATTTTTTTTTTGTTCTACTTAGTAGTATAGAAGACAATCAGTTGCTTATGCCTATAAAGATTTCCCCCCACCTTATTTTTAAGCTATTTCTGAAAATAAATTTGGAAATCACCTCTTTCTAAATTTAAGAATTCATTTTATCAAGAAAAGCTGGATACTGACCTGGTTACCTTCTCTTAAAAAGTATCTCTTCTCTATGACCTGTGAGAAACAAAGATTTTTAAGGACTTAGCACATATACTGGTAAAACAAGACTAACTGCAAAGACCACCAATGGGATTACAAGACATATATTCAAGTTAAGTCTTTTAGTAGCCATAGATATTTAATGCAATGAGTTAAAACTGGTGCTAGTGAGATCAGGATTGTAGGAGTATTTCCAGAAAAGGTTGCCTCACTCTATAAACTATTAATGATAGATCAAAAAATAAACAAAACAACTAAATAAAGAGACTGACATAAGAAATATACATTTCCTAGTGGGGCAGCAAATTTGGCTCTAAGTTTCTTAGCAGCCAGTTTCAAAAGGTACTGCAATAGGTATTTCACTATTACAATAGTACAGCTTTCCTTATGAGTAGTCTGTGTAATCCAGTGAACCTCCACATTCCTCTAGTACAATAATAAATTCTTAGTTCCTCAATGGAGACAGATGACAGAAAATCAAAAGCAGTCAACTAGCTTCATTTTATGGATTTCATCTGTATCCTAATTCAGTAGTTTCAGAACTGTTTGCATTTGGTCAGCAGGAGAAGCAATGGATGTGTCTGCATAAATCCATCACTACTACTGAAAAGAAGCCTCAATATATAGCTCCTAATACAGTGAATTTAAGAGTACCATGCTTTCAGATGATAAGAAATATTTTTAAAAATAATGAATTGTGTTCTAACACTTGAAAAATGCTATTTGCAAAGGCAGTATAATTTTTACATTGGATTGTGGTGATTAAGAAAAGTCAAGCAGATATGAATACAGATTAGTTGGATATTAAACTCTGTAGAACACTGTAATCTAGAGTTACATAGCTGAGATTGCCTCTGAATAAGAACAAAGCATCTCTTTCCAGGCCTGTGCCAGCTTGCTTTCACTGGCCTGATAGACAAGTCTTTGACATTCTTCCTATCTCCAAGACAATTGCTAGGTTACTTTCAGCCACAAATGACTTAGGGTAATGTTAAGTTCACTGGTCCCAAAGATAGAAATATTTACACTAAATTCTCTAAGATATGAGGTATAGAAAACTGGGTGAAATTTAGCTGCCAGGTCCCTTGGTTTCAGGTAACCTCTTAGTCTGGAGGTCTAGCCAACAATCTACTCCACTTGCCTTTCATTGTGATTTAGACAATGAAGAGAGAAGTTACCTTTTTTTGTTTTTTTTTCATAATTCTGTACTCTCAGCTCAGTCAATTTACAATATCCTTCTCTTACCAAATTTCCTGGATTTTTAAAAAAAAATAAAGCTGTACCCGATAACTGGGGTCATTCTGGTCTATAACTCATTTTTTTCTCTAGGATATAACGTCTTACATCTATTTTTTAATTTCAAAATTCAAAAAATCATTAAAAATGTAAAAAACATAGTATGGGATCTTTCCATGTCAGACATAGACCTATAATAAGTGGTTCTTAATTGTGGGAATTTTGTACAGGCTCTAAAGCAAACTGAAGTTCTTACATTCTAAGTGTCAAAACAATGTAGAGAGAAAATCTGATTCTTTGCAGTGCTTCTCAACATTTTTTAGGTCATGGCAAAGAAAATGCTAGAATTTGCAACCGTACACAGGGGCAAATGGAAGGGGCTGCTGGTCGCCTAGCCTGTGGAGCTGCCTCTCGTGGTACACCACATAGGGTATACCCCAGGTGCTATACACCACATAGGGACAGGTGTGGGGCTTTTCTAATATTGACATATTGGACCAAAAGGTCAGATATTAGGTCCTTAAATAACTAAAAGAAAAGTGATTCAAAAACAAGAGTTATGAGGAGGGAGATGTTTTCATTGGGAGATAAAACTTAAAGGGAAATATAATACTGAGATTAGTATTTTTCAATAATATAGGCTATTTTAATAATGCCTCCTCTTTTACTTTACTACGCAATGTGACCATTGGGCAAATGACTTAAACTTGGTCAGTACTACGTGCAATGTAGTCAGTCACTGAAGTCAGGGCTTGTGAAGGAAAGACAAACAAATGCTCTAATTTCCCAATATGCTGAGTCATTCTACATTTTCACAGCAGTTCAGGAGAATAAGATACTAGCAAAGAGTCAATAATTGGAATATAAAGTTTTCTGATTTGGAAACATTAAGGAATCAAGAAGATGATATAACCTTAAAAGTAATAGCAATGCTTATGGGAAGAATATTAATAGCTAGGACAGCAAAAGAACTCAGAGCTTTAACTCAGCAGAATCTCCTCAGTTTAGTACTTTTGTGGGGATAGCGGGGGCTGAGTAAGTACAAAAGACCTAGAAAATAGGGAAACATAAATTGTTTGAAGGAGGGGAATCAGGCATCTTTAAAAAAACCCCATTGAAATCCAGTAGCTTTCATCCTTTGCTTAGAGAACACTGGAGATAGAATCAATACGTCAGCAGTCCTTGAGCAATTATGCCAACAGATAAGAGAGATCAAAACAAGTATTATTCAGGCTGTGAAGTTCAGGATGAAGGAAGAAAAGGACAAAGCATTCTACAAAGAATTTAAATCTCATAATATATAAATTAGGTTTAAAAATAACTTAATTGAAGCCATTACCTTATCAAAAAACCTACTGAGCTTGACAGCATTGGAAGAACCTGCAGCTAAGTAGCGTGAATTTGTGCAATCCTAGAAGATAAAACATTAAGATTCACAATTAAAAGTCAGGAAATATAAGCTCTTTGTTAGGTATTACTGTTCCTGTTGCACATTTCTATAGTAAAATAATCGGCATAATATGTAACATTCAACTGATTTGCATACAACAAAGAGGAACTGTGCTAAAGGAAGATAATATCACCAACACTGTTATTTGAGCAATTTTAAAAGATAATGAACCAGTCAGTGACCAATTATGTCATCAATTATAGAAACAATTATATCATCAAGTGACTCATAAAGGAAGATAGTACTATATCCTACTAATAATAAGACCAAGACAAGAATCAGGTAATCTACCAACATTTACCTTGAAAAGCAGAAATTGAGTCATTAAAAACAATAAACACACCACTTTTTAGTACTAGTGCTCAACTAAGTACTACACATTTCCTTATAAATAGTAAGAAGCATGAAGATAAAGAATTTGAGGAGCAAATAAAGAAGAAAATAGAATGTGATTTATAGAAATAGGAAACAAGGAATTAGAAGAACAAAAAGGAATTCAAAAAATTGTCAGGGATTTTTTATTCATTGACTGTAAGGCACTACATCTGTTGGCAGGTCATAAAGATAATAAAAAACAACAGATCTATTCTGTTGTTACTAAATATCCATAGCATGTTGTTACTAAATATCATACACTGTTATTTTTAATAAATAAAAAATAAAAATATTATTTACATAGGACTTTTAGAAATAGGGAAGAAATGGGGTCCAGAGGAGAAAAAAAAAATCTGTAACATTACAATTAAATGACTAGATTACAATAATTAGTGAAGATGTTCAAAATCTTCCTATCCTTTTCCTGGAATTCCAGTGTTGTGTTGCCTTTGCTTGTCATCACTGACTTGCCTGTCATGTTAAGAGAGAGCAGTTTTTTTTTTTTTTAAGATTTATTTATTTATACAAGAACCGGGGTACAGGCCAGATGTGCGGGAGGGTGAGAGGATTCACCAGCGACAGAGAGGGGAACAGAACAGGCAGACTGACTGAAATACACTGCTGAGGGGAGCAGCCAGGCGAGTCAGGAGAGGTCTGCTGCGCCATGTGGGACCCTAGCAGGCTGGCTGGGATCGAACTGGCGCTGCAGAGGCTGCGGACAGCTTCACAGCGCTGTGCTCAACCGCCTGCGCCACCGGGGGGGCCTGAGATAGACCACATTTTTACCTCAAATGCCACCTGAGAACAAACTATGAGGATATTATAAAGGCTCCTTTGCAAGGATATTTGTCAGTTGTAGATGTCTATGTGTCTTAGGATATTACTAGTTATATTGTTGGTGCATTTTCCCCTTCCCTCCCCCCAATTATATATATATTTTTTTTCTTATAAATAAATAAATCTTTTTTATTTTTTTTTAAATAGAGGCATGTTTTATTTATTTATTTGTTTGTTTGTTTGTTTTGTTTATACATGCTCTGGGCACAGTCAGAAGCGCGGGAGGGTGAGAGAATTCACCAGAGCCAGAGCGGGGAGCAGAGCAGGCAGAAGGACCGAAGTACACTGCTGAGGGGAGCAGCGGGCGGCAGGAGAGGTCTGCGCGCCATGTGGGACCCTCCTCCAGTGGCCGGGGAGCAGCCGGGGATTGAACCGGCGCCGCAGAGGCCGCCGGCAGCTTCACAACCCAGCGCTCAACAGCTGTGCCACCGGGGAGGCCCCCCCCCCAATTATATTAACTGCAGTGAAGTTGGTTTACATCATTTTGTTTTAGGAGTACAGGTTCAAACATCTACATATGTAAGCTTTCACACCAGGCCGACCACCATATTTCCAATAATACTCCACCATGCTCCACTGTACTCCTTCCCCTTTTGCCCCCCACTCCCTTATTCCCACATCCTCTGCCTCCTCTTCTGGTTGCCTCAGTTTTGCAGTCAGATGTCAAGGGTTTGTTATTGTTTTGGTTTTATCTGACCTTTTGTTTTGTTTCTCTATACTCTACATGTAAGGGACACTATCTGCTATTTGCCTTTCTCCCTCTGACTTACTTTGCTTAGCATAATCCCCTCCAGTTCTATCCATGTTGTTAGAAAAGTCAAGAATTCATTTTTTTTTTTTTTTTTTTTTTTTTTTATAACTGAGTAGTATTCTATTGTGTAGATATACTCCATCTTCCTAACCCACTCATCTGTTTTGGAGGGGCACTTGGGCTGTTTCTATAGCTTGGCTTTTGTAAATAATACTGAAATAAACATAGAAGTGTATACATCTCTTCAAATTAAATGCTTTTGTGTTCTTCAAGTAGATACGTAGGAGCAGAATTAGAGGATTATATGATAGATCTGGATGTAATATTTTGAGAAACCTCTGTACTATTTTCATAGGGGCTGGACCAGTCTTATGTTCCCACTGACAATGTATAAGGGTTGCTTTTCCACTATATCCTCATCAGTGCTTGTTTCTGGTGTTTTTGATATGGGCGTGAGGTGTGAGGTAGTATCTCATTGTGGTTTTGATTTGTATTTCCCTGATGATAAGTAATGAGTAGCATTTTTTTCATGTGCCTGTTGGCCATCTGTATATCTTCTTTGGAGAAGTGTCTATTTAGCTCTACTGCCATTTTTTTTGATTGGGTTAATTTTTTTCCTTTGTTGAATTGCATGAGTTCTTTATATACTTTGGATATCAGCCTTCTGATGCATGATGTGCAAATATTTTTATTTATTCTGTTTTGTAATCTCTAAGTCCACATGATTGCTTTCCAGTGAATTTTGTAACCACTTATTTTATCCATATACAACGTTTCTAGGCTCACATTTTAAATTCTGGTTGGGAACTATATTTTCCAAAACCACACACCAAAAAAGTCTACAACAAACGTTTTAATGATCACAGGGTAACTAGAAAAATCAAAGATCTTCAAAACCAGCAAGCTTTGACTCCAAATATTGGTCTCAACACTTTTAGAGAGTGTGACATTGGATTAGGTTGCTAAACCTTTGAAGTTTACTCATTTAAGAAATAGGAATAATAAGGCTTAGCTCATAGGGTTTTTGTAAAAAATGAGGTAATACATGTCTGGTATAAAACGGATACTGAAATATTAGCTACGTGCTCTCTTCATTCTAAAGAAATGCTACTAGACACAAAAGCACTAATATAATAAAAGATTATATAGGTATTGGATTGGTTGAAACACTATTCCACAAACTGTTGTACATGAAATAATGTTTGAACACATTCATATAGCAGTTGGGGTATGTAAGAGACAAATTTTACACAAACCTGTGTTAGTTATGTTTTATGAAACTAATATTGATTACGTAAAATATCAGAATGTTGAAAGACTTTAAAGATGATTTCTAATAGCACTCAAGTGCTAAATACAAAAAATAAATCAGACAGCAAAGAAAGAAAATCTTCTCCAAACCTAATTCTAAGGCTCTACAACTTCAGGTTGACCAGATTAGAATCTCTATAAAATCATAGAGATGAGAATTTTGGGATGAGAATTTTGAAGGTGAAAGAGTCCTTTTCTATTGATCCTGGCTGAGAACAAACCCTGAAAATATGTATATCTAAATAGCTTGTCAAGGTTAAGAAAGAAATAAACCAGGGAAGATGCTTCAAAATGATCACTTCGAACTAAACATATAACAGGAAAATTTGTGCTACAATGCAATAAGCCTAACAGGATTAAAACAATAAATAATCTTATTTATGACTTACATAATTTGCCCTTTATTCAGGCACAAGATGGCAATTTTGATTCCATCTTTGATGTACTTGTTAATTCTTACTTTTCTAAGTAAATTCATACAGTAATCAAGAATATGATCCAGCAATTCCACTCCTAGGTATTTACCCAAATGACACAGAAACATCAACTCCAAAGAGCACCTGCACCCCTATGTTTATAGCAGCACTGTTTACAATAGCTAAGCTTTGGAATCAACCCAAATGCCCAAAAATAGATGACTGGATCAAGAAGATGTGGTACATATACACCATGGAATATTACTCAGCATTCAAAAAAGATAAACACATGCCATTTGCAGCAACATGGATGGCACTGGAAGGGATCATGCTCAGCGAAATAAGCCAGAAAGAAAAAGAAAAATATCGGATGGTCTCACTCATAGCAGGAATCTAGAAAACTTAAATAAGGGACCAGGAAAATGAATAACTATAAGAAAGTGAAAATCATAATCAACAAACAACTATGAACCAGAGATACTTTATGAGGGGAGGGGGGCGGGGGGGAGGGATTGGGGTCAAAATAAAGGGGTTGCAATTGTTTGGGGAATATAAAAATAAAATGAAAAAAAAAGAATACTAGCACTAATACTGTTACCTTTTTTTTTTTTAATTTGAGGCTTTATATTTACTTGTTGACCCTTTTTGAGTACTAGTTCTTTTTGAAACTCTTATCCATTTTTCCTCCTCAATTTTTTCTTCTCCACATAATCATGACTCTCTTGGTGGTTCTGCTATGTTCCTGAAGTTATACACTGATAAAAGGACAAAAATGGAGATGGTGTGTGCCAATGTACTACCAATAGAGTACCTTTACATCTTCTTAAGAATTAAAAGATGGCTGTCTTTGCAAGTAAAGTAGGAAAAATATGTATTTAGGTGACTGTCTCAGAAATCCACAGGCATTAAACAGATACATTACAAAATACATTAATCACTGAAATAAATTAAGTATATTCAATGGTAAATTCCCCATTGGAAATAATGTTCAAATGAACATTCAACAAGGGTAAAATGTAGTCTATGCAGCAAGAATCCTCTGGAATATCATGGTCTAGTATGCACATCTGGGGCATTTACACTGAATTTTCTGAGGTGGCACTGAGAAAAATTAGATACCTCCACTGCAAAATAGAATGTAAGAAATAATGACAAGGAGAAGTTGGGGGTAGAGGTAGGGATGAAATTAGTGGTGTTTACAAATGGTGATTCACAGAGTTAGGGCATCAGAACCACCTGAGTCATTTGTTAAAATTATAGAGTTGGGTCTTCCTGTGAAGACCTTGTGAATAAAAAGCTCCAGCTGTGAGGCAGTTATTCAAAAATTTTCACAGGTACTGTTGGAAATATAAATACAGGTAACTGTCGATCTAGATGATTTCTAAGTGTTCTTTCAGTTCAAAGATTCTAAATATTAGCTGAAGGGTAATTAAGTGGAAAATAGGCTTAAAGGTAGAGCACAGGCTCTGGAGTTGGGGTGTCTGTTTGACCACATAAGGTTGATGTGAAGACAATGTATGTGAGATAGTGTATGCAGGATAAAGCTTGGCATGTAATAAGTACTTAATAAATGCTAGCCATTAGTATTAAGACACCACTACCAACACACATGTAGAATGCCAATGCACTGAATATGTTGCAGAAATTCTACTTGTGTTGGCCAGAATACTTCTCTGGGCAACACAAACTGGCTTATATGAAGAATTTTTCTGACCCTTTTAAGCACCCAGTTCTAACTGAGCTAAATATCTTAGGAAGGGATGCAATCTTCTGTATCTACCTAAGTTTATTATAACTATGCTTATAAAGCATTCCGAGTTTACAGTTTGTAATTTTCCCATTTATCTATCTTTAAGGTAAATTCTTTAGTTGAAAAAGCAAAGAGGCTTTTCTAAAGCAAGACTAATCAAGGTACAGTATTAGTGACCATTCTTAGCAATTTTGATTTTGGTGTGATTTTCAAAAATCTTCTCAAGAAAAAGCCCATGCCAACAGGCATATGAAAAAATGTTCAACATCACTTGTAATCAGGGAAATGAAAATCCATACCACAATGAGATATCACTTTACACCATTGAGAATGGCACATATTAAAAAAACTAGCAACAACAAATGTTAGCAAGGATGTGGAGAAAAAGGAACTCTCCTGCACTGCTGGTGGGAGTGCAAACTGGTCCAACCACTATGGAAAGCTGTGTGGAGGTTTTTCAAACTACTAAAAATGGAGCTTCCATATGAACCAGCAATTCCACTCCTAGGAATCTACCCAAAGGACACAAAAACATTAATTCAGAAGGACACTTACACCCCTATGTTTATTGCAGCACTATTTACAATAAGAAGCTAGCTATTGGAAACAACCCAAATGCCCAAAAATAGATGACTGGATCAAGAAGATGTGGTATATATACACAATGGAATATTACTCAGCAATCAAAAAGATAAACTCATGCCATTCACAGCAATATGGATGGAGCTGGAAGGGATTATGCTCAGTGAAATAAGCCAGAAAGAAAAAGAAAAATATTCATCTATTTCACTTATAGGAGGAATGTAGAGGAATCAAATAAGGGTCAAGGGGGGAAAAAGTAATTATAATAAGTTAAAAATCAAAATCAACAGGCAACTATAAATAAGAGACACTCTGCAGGGGAGGAGATGGGAGAAGGATCAAAACTGGGGTGGGGAGAGCATAAGTGACGATGGTGATGGTACATGGGTGAATTGGTGATGGGAATTTCATGGGGGCTACACATGACAGGAAAAAGCATACATTGTACACAAGTGAAGAATGTAAAATATATCTAAAATTTTAAAAAAAGAAATAAAATATTTTTAAAAAGTAAAAAATAAAAGAAATAGTCCATGATTTACATTTTCATAGAACAAAGTTTGAACATTCCAAGGAGGCTGAAGTGACTGCCAATCTGGCAGTTTATGTTGAGTCCAATTTTCATTATATTTTGGATTAGAACACAAATAGTGTGATTTCAAGTATAAAGATTTTTTTTGTGAGAGTATAGAACTTGTGAAATCTTTGGTTTTGCCTTTACCTGATAATACAAGCATGCATTAGTAAAAATACACACCAAATTAATCTCTTCTGCATTGAAATCCTCTGCCAGGAAAGCAGTCCTAGTTAAAACTTCATGGCGCTTGGTTTCATGAATCTGGTCCAGTTTAGTCCCTATTACCAACAATGGGATTTGGTTATCAGCAAACTGTTCCTGGTCATAATCCCTGTGAACAAACAATGAAGAGTAGAATTTACTATTCTGATGTAGCTGTATATTTAAATATCATTAGCTTACACTATTTTGCTGATATTTCACTGGCTTTTGCTTATCCATCTCCTATAAACCTACTTTCTTCCATCTACTTGTTCAGTTATCAAGTCATCCTCAGGATCTATCGAGTCCTAATTATTCATCTAAACTATTCAAAATTTGCTCGAGTGAGGCTATATAGATCACTTGAATAACTAAGTGCCTACGAGGCACACACAGAACAGGCTGACTTGACTTTTTCCAAAGCTCCATCTTCTAAGCCTAACAGCTAAGACATTTTTCTGTATAGATTCTGTAATCTAATTAGTAGATTCAAATATCAGTGGAGAAAAAAACCCAGGTATCTATGGCACGCAAGCCTTGTGTCAGATGGGGAAATGGTAAGTTTGTGGATTCCTTCTAAGGTATACATAAGTTCCATATCTACCACACACATTTCTGTCTGTGAAAAGTAAAGGGTAGATCATTTTAGGGAAATGAGAAATAAGGACATTGAAGGCCAGGAAATTGGTCCTAGGTGATATTATAGCCTAGATGGATTCTAAAAATGGAAAGGGAAGGAAACAGCTAAATTGCCAAAATGAATACTAAAAGGGAAGGATTAGGTGCTGAATAGTTGCTTGTCTTGAAATGAGAGTCATGGGAACAGAGGACAGGCAAGGGTTAGTGGCCTTGGGTCATTAACTATTACAATCCTTTTTGTTTTTATTTTTACCCCCAAAATAGAATGGTATTCCTTCTATTACCGAAAATAAAATAGAGTCCAACGTTGTTAACTCAATTTAAATTCTTAGTCACACTGAGAAATAAAACAGATTTGGATTTCTGACATGTTATAAGCTCAATTTGCAAGTGTCAGCAAAATTTGGTTGCGAATAGCTATGACAGCAAATCAATAGTGCATAATTCAGTCAATACAGCCCAGTTGAGTATAGCTTTTTTCTTCCTTTGGCATTATTTTTCTTTCTCTTTGAATAATTTAAGTTGGGGGTGTATGTATGTAAAATTACAAAATATTTTTGCCTTTCAGAGATCCAATTAACTGTTCAGCCTTGGAACACAGCTGTTTTGAGTTAATCGCCCATTTAATAAAAATATATCATTATATTTATTACACCAAAGCCAAAAACAGCTTGAGTTCAAGGTCTTCATTTTTTTTTTTTTTTTTTTTTTTTACCAGTATCAACCCTGGTCCAAAATTAAAATTTACTTTATTAGACAATAGAGTTTTGAGAGCGTCCTCTTTTGGGACTGTTTTTTCCTCCTATATTCACTAACTCTGGTCCATATAAAATTTTTCTGTAGGCTATTTCACCAAACATCATCTTTGCTATACACATATCTCTGCCACTTATATCCCATATAGGCTCATGCATATTTTTTATATATATAGTATATATGCAATATAACATATATATGTTGCCATATATATGTTGCCATATATAATTTGTCCTCTTAATTCTTTCAAATTTTCCTTTTTTCTAACTTTGATTAAGTCTTACATCCAATATGAAATATGATGATGAAGTTTATTTTTAACCATTAGGTAGAAAAACAGATGGGGGTTTTTATCATGGATGAGTATGGATAACAACAATTTAATGTTATAAAGAGACAGACAATCAGGTATTAAATTACATACAAAATATCACTTCGGGGACCAAAACCATCTGTGTCTTTCCAAAACTACCATTTTAAGAGAAGATTTAACAGACACTACAGGAATATAGTCAGCAACATACAGACTATTGGAAACTCTACAGGACAGTCTATTTTGTTTCACAAATAAACCATTGGAAAGTAAAAAAAATGAAGGGGAACTTAAGATTAAGAGAAACTTAAGTCAATACAATGAGTGGATCTTACTGCACTTTTTTGAATAAACCAATAATCATGAGCTATTTAGATAAAACAAAATAATAGTTGGTATTATAGACCTATTATTAAATTCTAAGTGTGAATTACATTTTGGTTATGCTGAAAAAGACCTTATACTTTAAAGTTACACATTTAAGTAGACATTTTGTGTTCATGGATTGGAAGATGCAACAAAAACGCTTCCAAATTTGGTCTATAAGTTTAACCCAATTCCAGTCAAAATTCAAGCAGATTTTTTGTCAAGCTAGACAAACTATTTTAAGATTTATATGGAAAAGCAAATACAGCTAAACAATTCTGAAGATGACTAAAGTGGAAGGAATCACACTGCCTAATTTTAAGACAATATAATGCTATAATAATCAAGACAGTGTAGTAGTCCTGGTGAAGACACACACAGATCAATGGAACAGAAATGGAGTCTAGAAACAGACCCAAATAAACATGGTCAAATGAATTTTGGCAAAAGAGTAAAAGTAGTTCAAGGGAGTAAGAATATTTTTTCAACAAATGGTATCAGAACAATTGGACGTCATATACAAAAGTCAACCTCAATCAAAACATCACACATTATAACTAACTCAAAATGGATTAGATAAAAAAAATAAGCCTAAAGCTAAACACTTCAAGAAGAAACCTAGGAGAAAACCTGTATCACCTGGGATTAGGCAAAATTCTAACACATGATAACAAAAGCATAATACATAAAAAAATTGATAAGTTAAACTTTATCAAAATGAAAAACTATTGCTTTTGTGAAAGATACTTTTATGAAAATGAAAAGTCAATCTACAGAATGGGAGGAAATATTTGCAAATTAAACATCGTATAAAATGTTATTTTGGTGGGTACATTATTGTGATTGCTATAACATTTCAAACCAATTGTGATGTAATCTGGCCTTACCCATTTGTTACCAGGACTCCAGTTGGTACCAAATCCCTGTTGAGAGCTTCTAATGACCAACGATACAAGTTTTGGGATGACTTCTTATTTGTTAAGTCATGTACTAAAATAATACCTAAAATAATCAGAGAAAATTATGTCAATACTGTAACAAGTTTTCATTTTACAATTGGCAAAAAGAGGCTTAGTAAATACAAGCATTATGTTTTCTCAGTGAACCTAGCATGCTAGTATTACTAACTAAAATACAATTGTTTCAAAATTTCCTCTACATATTCATACAAATAATTACAAAATTTTCTTTGACACATATAACTTTTTGAGATTCTACAAGGGATGACAAAATGTCATTAAACTTTCAGAATATCTTTGTCTTTTTTCTTTATTCAACACCTCAGAAGTGCCTACTCTGTTTAGTATTAGTTGCAGAACTACCTCATCAATAATAAGAACCAGAACTACTTCAAATATAGGAGAAATTATATTCATTTAAAAAGTTCATTGTTTCTGAACTTTGTTCTAGACATGACAGATTTACACATTACTTAACACTCATTGAAATATTAAATAAAACTTATTAAAAGGGTATTATTTTATTTGGATGCAATTGTTTGTTTTTAATGTACAAAATGTTTTAAATCACCTGGGCCTAATCAACTCAAAAGGCTAATTTTTTAAATCTTTGATTATTGGTTAGCTATGTAAGCTTGCTACCTATTAAGAGAGTTAGTTATAGAGCAAAAAAAAAGTGCCACTTTAGAAAGCAGTAGGAATATATCAAGACATATGAATAGTAGAAAATAGATGGACTTCGAGAGACTGAGATAAATAACAAAATGCAATGAGGCTCAGAAATACAATTAAATAAACTCGATAGCCAAGACAGAAAGACAGAGCAGGTCATTATTACCGCAAGATGTAGGCAAAGAAGAAAGATTTGAATGCTAGCAGAGCTTAGGGTAACACCTACAGGTTTCAAATACTCAACCTTTCCCTGTATTACCCATATTCTACTGAAGAAAGGATGTGAAACTAATGATTCTTCCATCTTCAAGATGTAAGGAATGTCAATTTGAAAAAGAAGAACAGAAGAGTTAGAATTATTTGGCTTCTCTAGTTTTTACAGACATTTGTACAACTAAGGTGCTTGGGCAAGTTATAGTTGACTTGTTCCAGCTAGTTCAGATAAATCTGCATCTCTCTTGGTATCTAGAACAGAGATCTGACACTCATCCCCACATCCAATCATACATACTCTACTCCCTCAGTGAAGGGTTCTATTAGACATCCAGAACACAAGAGAGAGGACAGACTTTTAAAAAGGAATAAAGAGCTGCCATTAAAGAATATAGCTGACATTTACACAGCACTTAAGTGCTACACACTGAGTTTTACATGTATCAACTAATTTGATTTTCAGAACGCCCCTGTGAGGTAAGAATTGTCTCCATTATACATGTGGAAATTGAGGTTCAGAGAGGCTGAGTAATTTGCCCTAATACATAGTAAGTGGGGTAGCCAGAATTTGAACTCAGTTAATCTAACTGTGAAAGTCTAGAAGAAAGCAATCTAAAGCCTCACTTTAGGGGAAAGGAGAAGATATTTCTCCTCTCCTTATTTCCCAGGTATAATTATCATAAAACTATGGGTAAGACATTTGAGATTATAAAAGACCAAGATGAGCTACCAGATAGACAGGGAGAAGTTTATTTTTTGAGACTAAAAGCTTTAAAACTTTTAAGGGCATTTAAGCACCTCTTTTCCTTATTCTCCCTCTTTCATTTGGTCTGAGAGTTTTTGCTTTGTAGTCTGTGAACAAGAAGGGCCACCACAGGGTCCAGAGGAAAGTAGTCAAAGGTGATGGCTGATCAGACTATGTTCTAATCTTAAAAGAGAGGGGTAAAAAAACACTTTACTGACTGGGAATTACTCATCAACTTGGAAGAAGGTAGAGTATTCAGGGAAGAAAGTGATTACTAAGAATAAAGACTATGAATTTGAGTAGAGTAAGCCTTATGCTTTGTTTTTGTCTGAAACTAAGTGGTTGATGACGTAAAGAACCTGAGTGCTTCTACCAGAGGTAGGGTGAAAGAACTAGAAATTTGATTTTTCTTATGGTATTTTTTTTTTTAAGAAATAGGAATGGAAGGGGGCGGAGCAACATGGCGGCGAGGAGACGCTGTGAGTAAGATCTCCCATTAAAAAAGTGAATAGGGAGGAAAAGCGGCAGGTCCCAGTGAGAACTGGGCCACGGAAGATAAACGGGTGACGCCAGCGAACTGCCCAAAGAAGAAACTGGCCATAAAAGAGGACTAGAAGGGAGGGAAGCGCAGAACCCTGCTCCCCTCCCCCGCCCACAGAGGCGGCACTCTCCGACCGGCAGAGAGGAGGAAACAACAAACCAAAACGGCCCACAAGAACAAACGACGTAGCAAGCGGGACTGTGAGTGGAAAGGAACTATTGCAGCCACCACACCCCGTGAACGGGAGCTGAGGCGAACCCTGCAGGATCCACCGCGGCGGTGAGCGAACGGCTCTGGGCGCCATTAGAGAAGAACAAAGACCCCGGGAGACGCGCACACAGCCCGGGCTGCTGGACATTTCTTAAGACTGCTTGAAAAGGGCAGAAGGTTTCTGGAGGACCCAGTGGCCAGCCGGGAAGTTATTCCACGCCAGGCCCCTTCCGACCAGCAGTCTGAGCCCACAGAGGGAGCAGGCACCCACGTCCGGGGCAGACCGGGTGCGCAGAAGAGTGTGCCTGAAACCGGAGGCGCAGGGACTGCATCCCGCTTCGCCATTTGAGAACAGGGACATTTCTTCAGTAAAAACTGCCTAAAACCAGCAGAAAGCTCCCCCAGAAGACAGAGATGGCTCCTGGAAGAGCCAGAGGGGAGCGGAGAAGTTCACCCAAGATGTCAGTCAGTCCGAGCAACACAGTGTCCCAACGCATACGACAAATTAGAAAACAGACAGTAGGGAGTAGAAGAACCACACGCAACCTAAAAACTCCTCAGGAAAGAAGCACACCACAAAAAGAAAACCACTCCCCAGATTGCAACGACAGCAACTTGGAAGAACTTCTGAGCCTTCCAGAAAGAGAATTTAAAATTGCCATGATTAAAAAAGTGATAGATCAGAAGAAGGAAATTGAGTCCCTAAAGAGGGAAGTAAGAGAAATGCAGGAGATCAAAGAATTAATGGAGGAACTAAAGAACTCTGGGAAAAGCAATGAAAGCAGAATAGATGAAATGGAAGAACGAATAAGTAATCTTGAAGACACAGAAATAAAAAGAACCAAAACAGAAAAGGAAAGAGAAGTACGAAGGAAAAAGAATGAAGAAAGACTTCGGGAACTATCTGACTCCATGAGGAAAGGAAATATAAGAGTTATAGGAATTCCAGAAGGAGAGGAGAGAGATGTAGGAACAGAGAAAATATTCATGGATATAATTGAAGAGAACTTCCCAAATGAGAAGAAGGAGCTGAAAATTGATATACAAGAAGCAAGAAGAACACCAAACTTCCACGACGAAAGGAAAAACACAGCAAGACACATAATAGTAAAGCTCCCAAGAATCCAGGACAAGGAAAAAATAATGAAGCTGACAAGAGGGAAGAAACAGATAACATTCAAAGGAAAACCAATCAGGCTGACATCAGACTTCTCTGAAGAAACATTACGGGCAAGGAGAGAGTGGAGGGACATAGTCAACAGACTCCAAGAAAACAGATGCCAACCAAGAATACTCTATCCCGCAAAGCTCTCTTTCCTCCATGAAGAAAGAATATGGACCTTCCCAGACAAAGAGAAACTCCAGAATTTCATTGCGACTAAACCCCCACTCCAAAAAATACTACAAGGAATCCTAAAGCCAGAACCTCAGAGGGACGAATAACAACGAAAGAAGACCAGAAAAAAAAAAAAAAGTTATTAAAAGAATAAATAAATAAAATCAAAGGAAAGACAAACATAATGGCAAATACAGATGCTAACATATCAATATTAACTCTAAATGTAAATGGACTAAACTCTTCAATAAAAAGACACAGAGTTGCAGCCTGGATTAAGAAACAAAACCCAACCTTTTGCTGTCTCCAGGAAACACATTTAGCTACAAAAGATAAAAATAGGCTCAAAATCAAAGGATGGAAAACAATCCTACAAGCAAATGGGCCAAAAAAGAAAGCAGGAACAGCTATACTTATATCAGATAAAACAGACTTCAAACTCAAAAAAATAAAAAGAGACCCCAATGGTCACTACATTATGATTAAGGGGACAATACTTCAAGAAGAAATAACACTCATTAACATATACTCACCAAACGAAAGAGCACCAAAATATATCAGACAACTGTTGTCCTCTCTGAAAACAGACATCAGAGAAAACACATATGTAGTGGGAGACTTCAACACACCACTATCAACAATGGATAGATCAACAAGACAAAAAATAAGTAAAGAAACTAAAGCTCTAAATAAGGACCTAGAGCATTTGGGCTTAACAGACATCTATAGAACACTAAACCCAAAAAAAACGGAGTACACATTTTTCTCAAGCGCACACGGATCATTCTCCAGGATCGATCACATACTGGGGCACAAGACAAACATCAACAGATACACCAAGATTGAAATCATACCAACCATCTTTTCTGACCACGAAGGCATCAAACTAGAAATAAATCATAAAAAGAAGGCAAGGAACTATCCTACCTCATGGAGATTAAAGCCACATTACTGGAAGACCACTGGACTAACGAGGAGATCAAAGAAGAAATTAAAAAATTCTTTGAATTGAATGACAAGGAGGACACCAATATCCTAAATGTATGGGATGCAGCAAAAGCAGTAATAAGAGGAAAATATATAGCAATAGAAGCTCACATCAAAAAACAAGAAAGAACTCAAAGAAACAACCTAATCTCGAAGCTCAAAGATCTAGAAAAAGAACAACAAAATAACCCCAGAACCAGTAGAAGAAAAGAAATAATAAAAACCAAAGCAGAAATAAATGAAATTGAAACTAAAAAAACAATCCAAAAGATCAATGAAACCAAGAGCTGGTTCTTTGAAAAAATAAATAAAATAGACAAACCCCTAGCCAGGCTCACA